TGGTAATGTGCAACATACATCCATCTCTCAGTACAATCTTTGCCCCACTCCAATATTTCCCCCTTTGCCCAGTCAATATGAGGATTGTGCTTAATTAGCCAAGGAAAGCCTAATATGATGGAGCAAGAAGGAGACGCAATAATTTGGAATGTTATGTCTTCCTTGTGTAAGGCACCAATGGAAATATAAATGGGCAAGGTTTTGTGGGTAATTAAGATTTGAGAGAGAGGTCTCCCATGAATAGCCTCAACAGCCAGAAGTGATAATCTATCCTTGATAGGTATAGCATTTTTTTTAACAAAATGTACCGTATTTTTTGCTCCATAAGACACACTTTTTTTCCCCTCAAAAGTGAGGGGAAATGTCTGTGCGTCTTATGTAGCGAATGTGAAGATTTACTTACCTGTCTTGGAGCGTGGGCCGGCTTCACAGCGCGCTCCGCCGTCCAGGAACTTCTATTTCAGGTTCCGGTTTCCGGCGGGACTGAAAGGAAGTGCACACTCAGTGCAAAAACTAGGTGCGTCTTATGGTGAGGTGCGTCTTATGGAGCGAAAAATACGGTACATCAATTAAGTTTCCAGCCGCCCCCGGGTTCATCAGGGCTTTGCATGAAAAGTTCTTTGTCTTACATTTGACAGTAATATTAAGGAGGAATCTATTTTTGTTATTCCTAGAAGTATCCATTACACCTATCCCCTTGTCCCCTTAAGGTGCCTAGGTGCGGAAGATTTCCATACGTATGGGACAAGCTCTCCTTATATGTCCTTTTCTACCGCAGTATAGGCATAGACCCTCATTTCTCCTATAGTGTCTTTCTGCCTCTGACAGTCTAGTGACCCCCAACTGCATAGATTCAGGTTCAGACTGTACAGGGAGGTCAGCAACAATAGTTCTGGAGAAATGAGGAGCTAATGCCATAGTCATATGTCTTGTTCTATTTCTAGTAGTTTCTCTGGCTCTAAGTCTATTATCGATTTGCATGACAAATGTGATAAAGTCATTAGATTTTTTAGGTAGCTCTTTGGCAGCAATCTCGTCCAGAATTGCTTCGGATAATCCTTTTTTAAATGCAGAGATTAACCTGCTATTCGTCCAGTCTACCTCAGAAGCCAAAGTGCAAAACTCTATGGCATAATCTGAGATAGTCCGGTTTCCTTGCCTGATATGCATTAGGGCAATGGAGGCATCATCCTCCCTGCCTAAAGGTAAGAATGTTAATTTGAATTCAGCAAGGAATTCCTGGTAATTATGTGCAATACTCCTGTTAATCTCCCATAACGGATTGGTCCAAGCTAAGGTTTTACCTTTCAGTTGGTACATTAGGTAACCAATCTTAGCTCTATCCCACGCATGCTTAAACTCCTTCACTGTGTTAATAGTTGAGAGACATAACACTCTATCAAGTGTGAGCATAATCCATTTTTGTATTACATATTTATGTTTACAGTAAGCACTACTGGATATTTTCTTTTTCTTTAATGTTCCTACCTGCATATTGAGATATTTGCCTCATAAGTTATATCCACCAGTGGGGATTGTAAGTTAAAAGTTATATCCACCAGCTTGTTCAAGCTCCATAACATGTGAGTGCTACCTCATATACTACTGTTGTGAGTCCTATTTTCCTCCCAAAAGAGTCTGCATTATTATTTGTCACTTTGTGACTCCCTACATATATTTGCAAGCACCTTAACCAAGAACCAACATTCCGCAAGAATCCAGAAACAGCTGGGATTGTGATATTTGGACTGTGAATATTTTGACTTTTTTATATTTTTTTATTATTATATTATTTTATTGTTTAACACCTTTTGGGGAAACTGTATTTTTTGCTGTCTATTTTTAGGGTTTGATGGTATCCCCTATACTCGGTGGTTGCTGTCTAAGTCTAGTCAGTTGTTTCCTTAGCGCTTATCCATTTTTGTGTTTTTCTATTATGTGATTTTAGACATTCAACAATCCTATCCTTTAACATGGTTTCCATTACTTTTTCCACTGAGGCAAGGCTTGCTTGTCTACAGTTGCCTGACTCCTCCCTACTACATTTCTTGTGAATGGGCACAACATTCGCTAACTTCCAATCTTCTGGAACTACTCCTGTTAACAATGATTGGTTAAATACAACTGTTAATGATTTTGCTAGTACACCACTAAGCTCTTTTAATAACTGTGGGTGTATTCCATCAGGACCCATTGACTTACTGTATATCTCTTTACTTTTGACAGTTGAAATAGAATCTCTATTTCTCTGTAAACTCACATGTAACAAAGTCTCCTTTGTCCTCTTTCCTAATTGAGGTCCCTTTCCTTCATTTTCATCTGTAAATATTGAAGAAAAATATTCATTGAGGAAGATAACTAAACCTTTAACCTCCTCTACATATCTTCCTTCTTTTGTTTTCAATCTAACTAATCCATGTTTTATTTTCCTTTTCTCATTTATGTATCTTAAAAAATGTTTTGTCCCCTTTTTTCTACTGACTGTGCTATTTTCTCTTCTGTGTGTGATTTGGAAGCTCTTCTAACTGGCTTAGCCTCTTTCTGCCTAATCTTATAGATCTGTCTATCTTCCTCACTCTGTTGTTTTTTTTTATAATTACTAAATGCTAACTTTTAGTTTTTTACTATTTTGTCCACTTCTGCGAAGTACCACAGTCTTTTCTTTTTTTTTATTTTATTTTACTGACAAGCCTAATGCAATTTTCTGTTGCCTTCAGCAGTGCAACTTTTAAATAATCCCATTTCTCTTTGACCCCATTTAAACTGCTCCAGTCTGTTAAAGACTCCTTTACACATATTCTAATTTTAGAAAAGTCTATTTTTCTAAAGTCTAAAACATTTGTTTTTGTGTGGTGTGACTCAGTCACTGTTCTTATATTAAACCACACTGACTGATGATCACTGGATCCTAAACCTTTACTTACAGTAATATCTGATACTAAATCTCCATTTGTTAACACTAAATCTAGTATGGCCTCTTTATGAGTTGGCTCCTCAACAACTTATTTTAGAGACAATCCCAGTAGGGAGTTTAGAATATGAATAAGAACAAAATACAGCGATAAGTCTCCCAATCCCAGCCAAAAGAGGATAGGGAAGGGATGGTTAATCACATTATCATACTCCCAAAAATATGGAGGGAGTTCACCTAAACTGGGCTCTAGAGAAGTGGTTATCCCTCAAACAACGTTACAAGAAAGAAGCAGAACCTAATACGCTCCACTAATGGGTGTGCAGCAGGGAGAGCACATTGGTGTGTAAGGAGATAAAAACAATCCTAATATTTCTTAACCCCTTAACGCCGTTATGGCGTTCTATGACGTCCCGGCTTTAAAGGGCTTTAAAGCCGTTGCAGAGGCATAGAACACCGTAACGGCTTTGAGCCCCTGGAGGTAAGATTTACTTACCTCCGCTGCGATCCTCTTCGGGAGGGCTGCCTCACAGCCCAAGTAGCCCTCCCCTGGCAAATGAGGCCCCCGGGGGCCATGTGATCGCTCTCATAGAGTGCTTGGAGCCCTCAGGAAGTGGAGGGCTCCTTCAACGGAGGTACCCAGTCGGAGTGCCAGGTGATCCGTTACAATACTCAAAAAGATCTTTACTTGACCGAAGCCCAGTCCTATAGGCACCGCTCTCCAAATTAAATACAATTGCTTGTTGTCTTCGCTGTCTCTCTATTACCGTGAACTTGGCCCGTTACTGGCTTTTCTCTCTGTCTAACATGGAGTCTGGCCATTCTAAGCCCCGGTAATAGGTTATTTCCTTTTTTTGTCCCTTGCTGTCCTAAACTCTGCGTGTTGGGGTTTTTACTTTTTTTGTTCAAATGAGAGGTACCTCAATGGGTTCTAATATGGCATCCACATACGCCGGCATATACATGGGAGCATTGGAAGAGAAGTTAATTTATAGAAATTATTTGTTTAAAAAATAAGCTGTTAAATGGTGGGATAACATTGATGATGTTCTGGTGTTGTGGTGTGGCACATTGGAATCCCTTGATGAGTTCTTCTGTTTCTTGAATAGTTGTTCGGAAACAATAAAATTTACCATGACTGAAGATTTAAACACTATTCTCTTCTTGGATTTCTTGGTTACCAAATGAAATGAAAAATTGGAAACCTGTATATACAGAAGGCCATATACAGAAAGCCATTGCATAAATTGCATTATAGTAGTTTTTTGCCCTTCCACCATAAGTATGTACCAAAGAGTCAATATATGAGGGTCAAAAGGTTAATCTCTTGTACCAATTTAGCAGACCAGTGTGTAGAAGAGATAACAAAATGATTAAGCAGTCCTATGATTTCATTGAAAAATCAGTCGGCATCTTTGACAAGTGTAAGTAGACAGGAGATGTTTTCTCCTAAACCTAATGACAATACAGAGAATATAATTAAGTTAATTTCTCGCTTTGGCACGTTATCCTCTGGGATAAAGAAAATAGCAGATAAACATTGGCATATATTATCAAATTGCGATTCTGATATAGAGGAGTTTAGGAAAAAAACAATGCTTGCCTACAAGCGAGCTCCATTACTACGTGATAAACTAATGAGGGCAGAATTCCCCATGATTCCTACTCAGGTGTCACATTAAAATGGTAACTACCCTTGTTATAACTGTGTATGTTGCAATTTGATGATCCATGGATCAGTCTTTCATCACCCACATACAGATAAAAAATACCTTATTCATAGCAGTTTGTGAAATGTACGACTACACACGTTGTATATATTTTAAAATGCCACTGTGGTTTAGTACATGTGGGGCAAACAATTCAAAAAGCATAAATCGACAATTTTAAGAGGATTGCTAGAGTTACCCATACCATCACACATTGCATTAGCCCACCACAATGTTTCACAATTATGTCTTGCTACTGGACATCAATTCTCAAACACAGCTGCTGCACTACATTATTAAGGGAGTACACACTCTGTGTGTTAGTGATTTTGATTGCACTGATTGATGTTTGATTTAATTTTTGCCTATATGGTTGTATGGTTAGTTGAGAAAGACCTCACAGGTCAAAATGCTGTTTGACATTTGGTTCAAATAAAATTGCCTGTTTGAACATTGGAGTACCTAAACCTCTCTCTGTTATTTGCATATTTGTATCTGGGATCTGGTGCTGGGTCCAGGTTTAGTTGCATCTTGACTCATATTGATGGGATTGAGTGCAGTTCCTAACTTATTTCGGAAAAGAGGTTTTACCTTGTGACAAAACCAAACAGCATATCAACACATACAACTCAATGCCAACTGTTAAGCATGGCGGTGAAGGGGTGATGATTTGGTTTTCAACCCTGGAGCCTTGCATTGAGTCGACCACGAGCTCCTCCGTATACTAAAGTATTCTAGAGCCAAGTGTAAGGCCATCTGTCCGACTGCTGAAGCTCTGCCGAAATTGGCTCATGCAACAGGACAATGATCCCTAGCACACCAGCAAATCTACAACAGAATGGAAAAAGAAAAGAATCAAAAAGTCCAGACCTCAACTCAATTGAATTGCTCTGGCAGGACCTTTTCAGTTTATTTATATCGGATAGAAATTAAAAGTGTACTGCCAATCACTCTCAGAACAGAGAACTCCATTCAGTTTTTTTATATTGCCATATTGTATTAAGTCCGATTTGGGGACGGTCAGTGATATGATGGCATCACTACCCCGTCCACTTTACCCTTCCGGCCTTCAGCATTTCTGCAAGGTATAGTATACTTTCAGCACCAAAACAACAAGTTTCATGGAAAAAAAAATATGCAGCCTTATCGATGGTTCCCCTGTCTTTGACTCAAACAGCCTCTATTATAAGAAAAAAAGTGAATTTCAATCAGAGCTTGCAGAACAGTGTGTTTAACCCCTTAAGGACACATGACATGTGTGACATGTCATGATTCCATTTTATTCCAGAAGTTTGGTACTTAAGGGGTTAATTTAGAAGTTATCTCCTGCTCTTGTAATTGAATGTTGTAGCTGTTAACGCTGTTACAGGTTCTAGCAAGATATTAACAGAGCACACAATAAGAAATTCTAAATTAAACAAACACACTGTGCAATAAGGGAAGCTAAAACATGTAGACTCTTTTCCAGGTGTATAGGAAGGCTATGTAAGTCACAGTCAGTGAAAGTGTGGCTAGGATTGCATAAAAAATGTGATCTAACTCATGGTAGACAGTTGAGCAGAAAGATTGCAGGGGCCTTATTTAGGGGAAAATGGGGAAATAATGGGTCGCATATAATATCATTTTGTGGAATTGGAGAAATCCACCAATTGTACAACATCTTTGTGGAATATTGCACTGAAGCACCACACTGAACCAGTGTGATCTGAAATACAAGTAAAGGTGTTCAAATTAAATATATATATATTTATATTTTTTTTTTTTTTATAAAATAGCCATGTTGCAATTTAGTCAAAAAGTGTGGTATCTATCTACATTTTCAAACAGGCAATATAAATGGTGCACTGGAAAAGTATTCTGAATACATCTAAAGGCAGTGTCCCAAATTTGGCAATGTACAAAATTAACAAAACTAAAATTACGCAAAATAAAAAGAATTAAAAAAATACAAATAAAAGGTGAAAAAAAGCATGTAATGGAACAGAAATCCAGGTAAAATATCAGGTAAATTGCTAAATTTCTAAAGTGCAAAAAATTATAAGATTAAAGAGAGAATAAAGATAAAACATCCAAATGAAGCAAATGAGTTATTAATTATAAAATATACATATTTTTTTTCAATTTAGCAAATATAGCATCTATAAAAAAAAACAAGATGTTCAATTATAAAGCACTAATGACAAGGGTAATAGCATAAAATCACAAAAGGATAGTGTAATAGGGTATACAATTAGCATAAATGGAATGTAGTCTGTATATAATAGTAAAACACATTGTAGCAACAGTCTCAATAAATAGTCTACTATAACACAAACCCCTTTATTGAGTCAATACAACCTGTTACTACTAGGTAATCTAGTACACTTCAAATGCACTGTTTAGTGTACAGTACCCTAATCTCAAAAATCAGGGACCACATAAACTAGGTTGCAGTGTGCTAGATTAAAAAAAAAAAGATCCAAACAATTCAAAACCAAAGGACAAGAATACTCCTTGTGCAAACAGCAAATACTATAAATATAGAAAAAACAATATATGTTACTTACAGAAAAAAATCGATACCAGGAACCACAATCACCAAGTGTTCATGGATGTCTTATAAACCTTCCAAGTTGCAGCTTGTGGAAGGGAGTGAGACTCACCACATATTAATCCTTACTGTCAGACTTGCAGAATTCAGTTCATTCCTTGCACAGTTAGGTGAGTGAAATTCAGATTAAACTCCCACCTGCTGTTGGGATGCCAAAGTTTTAAAACGTGAAAAGTGAAGTCCGGGATCGTCCAGAAGTGAATGCAGGTCTGATAAGCTCGTGGTGGGACTTAGATAGCCCATAGTTCATATTTATTATTTATTTATAAAATATTTTACCAGGAAAGATACATTGAGATGTCTCTCGTTTTCAAGTATGTCCTGGGTCATACTTAAAGAAACCTATAAGTAGAATGATTTTAAAAAGGAAACATAAAAATAAGTGAAAAAGCCTCATGATATCTACCACCATAGGGATAGGGATAATCCCTATAAAAGAATATAATAATAATAATAATAATAAAAAGAGTAATTTGTATATTACAAGATAATCAAAATATAATAATAAACATAATATTAATAAACATATGCAAATCACAATATCCCATAATATCAATAAGGGACCAAACAGTCAACATATAAAACATTATACTCTGACAAGCATCAGAAAATAAAGATTAATTTAAAGAACTTGTGCCTCAAATAGTAAATGGAAGCAAAAAAAAAAAAAAACTTACATAAAACTATCCCAATACAAGCAAGATAACTCCCAAGAATGGGAATGGGGTCCCCCTACAACAGGCCTTTTTTGGGGGCTTAAAAATGAAGATTTTAGAAGAAAGAAGACATCAAATGGTAAATTTTCTTTTTCTTTACAAGTTAGTTATTTTATTCCCCACTTACTATTTTTAGGGTGAGGGGGGTAGGTAGGGGATAGTCTTTTATTTGGGTGGGGGGGTGACTAGGGGCTTGGAATGGGGGTGATTTTCATTTAGGGCCCCCACCTGCCACTCAGGGGTGGGGGCCGGGGGGAGGACAGTAGGTCCCCCCATTATCTTCATAGACCCACCAACCGCTCGGGGGGGGGGCTGCGTGGGAGGACAGTAGGTCCCCCCCTCATTATCTTTATGGCCCCCACTCACCGCTCAGGGGTGGGGACCGGGGGGAGGACAGTAGGTCCCCCCTCATTCTTGTTTAGGGCCCCCACCTGCCGCGCAGGGGTGGGGGCTGGGGTAGAGGAAGTAGGTCCTCCCCTTATTGTTATTTAGGGCCCCCACCCGCCGCTCAAGGGTGGGGGCCGAGGGGAGGACAATAGGTGCCCCCCCCCTTATTTTACTTTAGGGTGGGGGGGGCAATGGGTTTAAAAAAAATATAGCGGTATAGCGAGTAGGGGCTGAATTTACTAATACGAAGTTAATACTAAGTAATTTGTTATAATATGTGATTAATCTAAAATAGTAAGTTAAGTGGATAGTGTGTATATGTATATATAATAATGTATACATTTGTCTCTGGGTTAGTATTCCATCCCCCCCGTATTTGCCCTGAGATATCATGCCTTATCACTTGGCTTGTTTACATAATGCATTCCTTAGCTCAGACTTGCATGAACAGAGTTACAGAGAAATCTCATATTTGTTTGCTAAGATTGGTAATTTGAAATAGCCTTGCAAAGTGTAAAGCAATATTTTTTGTGTGCACTGCTCCTTAATCTTTATTTTGTATATATTTTGGTGTTTACATCATCACCACTACTGAAAATGCATGTTCTGGGTGTGCCCCCCAATTCCATTTTCTTAAAAAAAAAAAAAAACCCTGGACCATCATTGTTCTAAATACCATTTTGTTGACAGAAAGCAATGATGTTTTACTCTTCCCTGGGAACTAATACATACCAGCATGGAATTAACCTTAACATGACATTTCTTAAATGAAAAATATATCTAAAAGCGACACTGTCATGCCGAACTTACCTTTCTTTAATCAATTCCTGTTCTCTCAGGATCTGTTCTTCATTTCTTCTTGTCTGCTATAGTTTTCTTTAAAACATAAGATAAAGTAGTGACTATTTGTCTTATGGAGGTTTCCTCTGCTGCCTCCTTTCACTTTTCCTGAACATCTTGTCATTTAGACAGAACGCCAGCAAAACTACCAAATTGCTCCCTAACAGAATAAGAACAGTTTTACCATTTATGTTAGGATGCAATTCGGGACTTTGTTCAGATTGGAATTTCATTCAAGTTAATGAAACTCCGATCCTATTCGTGCCGAGGCTGCATCTTGCAGCTGCTTAGTAGATAACTCCCTAATTCACACGGTATTAGAGAGCTATCTACCAAAAGGCTGAAAGACCTAAATTGGTCTTTCAGACAAATTTACTAATACTAAGTAAAGATTAGTTAGTATTAGTAAATTCCTCCCCTATTTGCTATACCGCAAGTAGAGGCATGTCTACTAAACAGTGACCAGCCAGTGGTGGGTGGGGGCCCTACATAATAATGAGGGGGGGGACCTATTGTCCTCCCCTGAGCGGTGGGGGCCCTAAATAACAATGAGGGGGAACCTATTGTCCTCCCCCCCCCCAGCCCCTACCCCTGAGTGGCAGGTGGGGATTCTAAATAACAATAGGGGAGGGGGGGACCTATTGTCCTTCTCCTCCCACCCCCAAGCGGCGGGTGGGAGCCCTAAATAATAATAATGGGGTGACCTATTGTCCTCCCCCCGGCACCCACCTCTGAGCGATAGGTGAGATTTTTGTGTAAAATGACACACTCAAAGAACTTGAATGCCTTGGACATATGAGAGAGAGAGAGTTATTTATCATTTATGGATTTACTGTAAATCTTTAATATTTTTTTTAATAAAACAGGTTTAGTGAATTGCAGCGCAAATAGTTCTTCCCTGCAGTGAAAGGTTAATCATTAATAATTGCTCTATGATCCCTTGAAAGTTTGTGAGCCATAACCAAAGCTGGTTGAGAAACATAAGAACTATTTGTCAATACCTAAATACCTATTTGTAAGATTTATATAAAACAATTGTGTGCCATTGGGGTAGTCATATCCTATTTGGATGTTCTCAATTCTGCTACGTTTCTGGAATCATTGAAACAAATTTTAGCTCATGATGATAACA